GCTCACCAATGGGCTTCTCCATGAATTGTTTCTAGTGGGCTGCCACGTCCATTTACATCATTAAGTGTGGAGGAACTGACAAAGAGGATTTGAATCCTCATCAAATTGAGTGGCAGCAAGGATTAGACAGGATGACATAGTTCCTGCTGAGCACCTAAGGCCCACTGAAGAGAAACCACTACCATTATTCTTAACTGCAAAGATATCTAAGATTCTCCTATTATAAATCACTCTGAACCTTTTGTGAAGGGTGAGTTTGTGATCTCAGTGTAACAACCACAGATAGGAGAAAAGACTCCTCGCCCCAGCTCTGAGTCCCAGAGTTCAGAGAGTAGTCAGCAGGGTCGGACAGAAAGCAAGCGTAGCGCAGTAGTGGATTTCCCATGCTGTTTGTTGACATCAAATTTAATCATATTTGTTTCTATAAGTATTTTAGCTTATTTTAAAATAATTTAAAATTTAGGTTATAAAAACAGTACAAGGTACACCCCATATACTCTTTACCCTGAATCATCAATTGTTTATTTTATTCCATTTGTTTTATCATTCTCTTTCTCCAGATAGACCAGTAGATGATAGGTAGATAGAAGACAAATACATACAGAGGTAATAAAAAGATGATTGATAAAGATACACATGTAAACATATGTGGTCACCTGCATGTACTTTTTTCTGTGTGCACACACATATGTATATGTATGTATACATATACATGCATATTATTTTTTGAAACATTTGGGAGTAATGTGAAGACATTATATGCCTTTACCCCTGAATGCTTCAGAGTATATTTCTTACAAACAAGGACAGTCTTTTACAAAACCACAGTGCAGTTAATTTTAGTGCAATTCTCTTTATCTACACAAGCCATTTCCAGCATTTGTCAAAGGTCCCCAAATGAACTTTACAAGATTCACACCAGGAACACACTCTGCATTTGGGGGTCACGTTTCTCAGTCTCCTTCAGAGGAGAACACTTACCCAGCCTTTGTTTTTGTTGGCCTATTCACTTTGAAGATCACAGACCATTTATTTTCCTCACAATCAGATTCAGATCATGCATTTTTGGTAGAAACATCAAAGGGCCAGGCTGCATACTCCTCAGGGCTCAGATGAGGAGGCTCTGCTCTCAGTGAATTTTGTTATTGCCAATGTTGACCTCCATCACTTGGATAAGGTGGTGTTCACAGGACTTCTCCACTGTGAAGTAATTCTTTTTTTCCTATGTAATTAACAAGTAATTTGTGGGGAGGCCCTTTAAGATTCCCAGGGAACTCAGCTGGTAAAGAATCCACCTGCAATGCAGGAGACCCTGGTTTGACTCCTGGGTCTGGAAGTTCCCCTGGAGAAGGGATAGGCTACCCACTCCAGTACTCTTGGGCGTCCCTGGTAGCTCCTGCCAAAGCCTGAGATGTAAGAGATGCAGGTTCTATCCCTGAGTTGGGAAGATCCCCTGGAGGAAGAAGTGGCAAACCAATCCAGTATTCTTGGCTAAGAAATCCCAGGGCCAGAGGAGCCTGGTGGGCTATGGTCCAGGGGGTCACAGACAATCGGACTCGACTGAACAACTAAGCTCATCACAACAGCCCCTTAGCTTATGAAAACACCCTGTTCCTTACCAAACTTTCACCCACGAGCTTTTGCATCAGTGGTCAATTTTCTAAGTTCATCATTCCTTCTGTATTTATTACATGACATTCTATTTTATTCTTTTTTATTATTTTTGATTCCATGATTGTTAGTCAGCATGTATTTCTCCTATTTATTTTTCTACTTGTGTCAGCATGAACTCGTAGATTTTTATTCAGTGTATTATAATCCATTACTATCATATTCATTATTATGCTTACATTGACCCAGATCGACCAGGAGGAGCACTTTCAAGCTGGTTCCTCTGACAACACAGAACATGGGGGGACGGGCAGGAGAGAGTTCAGAGTGGGCGGCAGTGTGGCCACAGACACTTCTCCGTTGACCCACACGTGTAACAGGGATCCTGAAGGAAGAGTGCTGGGAAGCTTATATTTCACATTTAAACCTAAATTCCCACTCCCTTATCACAAAGGGTTAGGATGGTTAAATTATTCTCCACTTACAAAAAAGAATGTTAAAAGATTTAACTGCTAATCCCTCTTCAAATCTTAAAGGAAGATTAATGGTGTGAGTGGAGGACTAATTCTATTGCACATTTTGTGTTCAGACCACATTTTTCTAGCAGATTACATGATTACAGTGTATTAATCATAATACTTGTTTGGAGGGAGCACCACTGGGAGCCAAGTTCTTCAGGGTGATGATCTCCATAACGCTTAGTGAATAGAGAAGGGAGTAAGTAGTCCTGGACTTGGCTAGAAAATCAGATTTGGTGAAACTGAAAACAAATTGCTTCAGGGACGTTTCATAGATGGCCTTCCATCTGTGTGTGCCAGATATGGACCTTACTCCTGAAAGTGGGAAAATACAATATCCCGAATTGACACACATGATGACAGCCTAGAAAGAGAAATAAATTATACCCATAATAGCCTTGATTTAATCTTTGGGGCATGGTTAGACTGAGCACATGAAATGAGGCCAAAACATGTCCTCACATACCTCATAACAAAGTAAGCCCTTTTATTTCTGCAATAAACATTAATTTTATGGCTTGGTTAGGCACCATCACCCTCACCTCTCCACTTAGAGAAGAATTTCCCCTCAACTGAAATCCAGAGAAGGGTGGAGGGTGTGGGGAGAAGCAACAGGCACCAAGAGGTCCAAACGCACCACACGTCACCTTATGTTATTTGGAAACATGGCTTTAATGTGACTTTAAAAGCAATTTAGAAATAAACGTGTTAGCATGTGGAAAGTCAGCCTCAACAGAATGGATAAGGGGTCTCTTGGCACACAAAAGGTGTCTGATAAAGTGTGTTCCAGACCAAAGCTCCAAATGAAGTATTTGAGAATGTCATCCAAAAGAAAGCGGGGAGAAAAGCCAAATATTTGGCAAAAACACTGCTGAATCGTGAAACTGTACACCAGGCTGCCAAGTCTCAAAGAATACTCTTAGGTACAATTTGCTCAACCAACTAAATAAGAGGCAGCCATAAATTACAGATGAATATAAATGGTGGTGGACTTCAGGGTCACCTCCAAGCCTATTAAAACTTTAAACACTCTGGTGCCTGATAGCCTGAAAGGGTGAAAATAGTGCTTAGTGCTGTGGCGACCTGCCTGAAGAAGACTCTGTGTGTGTGCATGTGTCTTGTGTTGTGTGTGTGCATGTGTCTTGTGTTGTGTGTGTGTGTGAGAGAGAGAGAGACAGACAGACAGACAGATAGACAAAGTTCTACTGCTGGGCACCCATTCTACCCTGCTGGTCTTGCTTAGTACTCCAGAAAATAAAACAAAACGCCTGCGGAAACAACCACATGAGGCCAGTGGAAAATGAAGACGGCTCCAACAGCAAAGGTGCCCATCGGGCTGTGGAAGTCACAGAGCTCTCACTGACTTTTAGCAACAAGAGGCTTACATCAGGGCCTTAAACACAGATCCATTAAGACAAGGCCTGAGGGACAGCGAGCACGAATGTCAGGCTAGGAGAGCTGCCCCCACGCTCCCACCCCAAGGAGATGAAGCTCCGGGCAGGCACAGAGATGCTGCTCGCGCGGCTGTGCGTTCCCTTAGACTCAGCGGCACATCTCCCTGCCTGGAATGCGTCTGTCTGCCTCAGAATAGCCAGCGTGATCTGAACTCTTATCTGTGCTGCACTCTGCAGTATACAGAAGGTGAGCACATATACTGAAACTTTTAAAGATCCAACTCTTCTAAAATGTGGCATATCTTTTATTCTGAACTCAAAGTGTAACTTTTTACACTTTAGGGAACTCAAAGTGTAATTCATAAAATACTGCCTAAAACGTCCTGCCGTGGTGAAGCAAAGGACCATACTCAGCTGTCCTGAGACGAACATCTGTAGAAAGGGAGATGGTCAAGGAGTAAACAATGCAGACCATTGACTGCCTTTACAATGAGCTCCATCCACGTTTCAGCAACTTCCCCAAACACCTTCCTTTCACAAGTCTAGCCTAGGACTCTACGAGTACATTCACCAGATTCTGTCTTCTCAAAGCCGATAACTAAAAAAACAAATAAAAGATACACAAGACTGACTGATGAACCAACAGTTCTGAATGCAGCACAAATGACATGTATTTAATCTTGTGGCAAAAAAACACAGACCCGGGGGTTGGACAGACTCTCAACTGCACCACTTACAGTACTGATAACCTTCGGCAAGTTACCTAAATTCTGTGTCCCAGTTATCACATCTGCAGAACAGGAAAATCATAAAAAAAATACTTACTGGAATTAGTCAGGGTTTAGTAGAACTAATAAGATGTGTATATATCCTATTTCTATATAGAAAGATGTATTGAGGAGTTGACTCATGCAATTAGGGAGACTGGCAAGTCCACAGTCTGAAAGGTGGGCCGGCAGGCTGGGGACTCAACAGAGAGTAAACAGTAAACATTGCAGGTGACAGCTGAAGATCATCTGAAGGCAGAATTTCCTCTTGCTTGAGGGAGGTCAGACTTTTGTTTTAGTCAGGCCTTCAACTGATTAGATGAAGCCCACCCACACTATAGAAGACAGTCTGTTTTACTCAAAGTTCACCATTTTAAATGTTAATCTCATCCAACAATACCCCCCACAAAAACCTTTGAAATGATGTCTCACCACATACCTGGACACCCTGGCCTGGCTAAATCGACACATAAAATTAACTATACACCACTTCAAAGGGTTTTGTGTGCTTAGTCACTCAATCACGTCCGCTTCTTTGCAACCCCAATGGACTGTAGCCCACAGGCTCCTCTGTCCATGGGGCTTCTCCAGGCAAGAATACTGGAGTGGGTTGTCCTGCTCTCCTCCAGGGGATCTTCCCAACCCAGGGATTGAACTCAGGTTTCCCACATTGCAGGCGGATTCTTTACCATCTGAGCCCCCAGGGAAGCCTGCAAAGGATTTTGGCCAGAATTAAATCAGCTGGTTTATGTAAAATGCTTTGGACTGTGACAAGCACCTAAAAAGTGTTAGGCATGTTAGCTATTGCTATTATTGTTACCGTTATTATTATCATTCTCATTAGGTAAAGATTAATGAGTGGCAAAATGAGCCACTGTGAGGATGGCTTTCCAGGAGAGAGACCCATTCTTCTCCTAAACATTTGGGAAAGGCCTTGGAAAGAAACTGGAGGTTTCTGGAAGTGTGGGAATAGGGAAAGAGTGACTGGAAGGCCATGAGATGAGGTGTGGCTGGAAAAAATCTGACTGGGAGCACAGGGGGCTGAGTGGGAAGATGAGTAAAGTGGTGGCCTTTGGAATAGAAGGTAAAGCCCTCGGGCTTCCTTGCAGAGTCACTGAAGTTTCCCTAGGAGAGAATAAACCGAGGGAGGGGTGCTTAAAATAACTTTGGCAGGAAATTTAAAGAAAGGGCTGAGCAGGAGGTAAGATCTTCCAGGAAGAAGAGCTTGCAACACTTCAAGTAATGAATGAGGAATGGCCATTTTGTCCCTAAGAACCCCTAAGAACTACAGAAAGGTGGAGGGCTGAAAATATGATAGGTTTTCCTGTTGAGGATATTGAAACCTGCCTGCAGGTAGATCCGGGCATGGGGGAAACTTGGCCCAGGGCAAGAGTGGCAGAAAATTCAGCAACTTCTTTTGACAAGTGTCATTTTTATTCAGTCTTTTCCCTAACTGTGCAGCTTATCTCTTACTTTACATAAGCTTACCCTTCTCAACTGACACCATTATTAAAATAAGACACTAATTTATTCTATTTAGTCAAAAGGCTCAAAACATAGCACTGAATGGTCGACAGTGATACGTTATGTTATTACAGCCTAACTCAAGTAGACATCCATAATCCAAAAGAAAAAGAGAGGAAGAAAGTTAAGTTATGGGATCAGGGAACCAGTAAATCCTCCTGCATGGGAGGTTAAGAAGGGGGTTGGGGGCATTCAGAACCAGGAACTAAAAATGGACTGATTATTCCAGATCATGGACATCACTTCAACCCCTTGTTTCTGCAGCCTTTTGATTCCACTGAAGACATTTTCCCTTGTGAAAACAACAGACATTTCTTAGTGAAGAAATTAAATTATAAGTAAATTTTATAGTTAATTTTGTCTGAATACGTCTTTTCCATCCATCTTCTTCTCTCAGCATCTTCGTGATGAACGCTGATGTGAGGCGCTCCGAGGTGCCTGCAGAAGAAGACAGCAAATGAAAGCCCCAGTGCCTGGCATCCTGACGTCAGTGCATCCACACAGCAGTGGAGATGCCCTCTGGCCTCTGCCTACACTGCCCCTAAAGCTCTCCTGTGCCCCAAAGACAGAAACATAGATCCATGGAGCAAAGCAGAAAGTTCAGAGATACATCCAGGCACCTGTGGACACCTTACCTTTGACAAAGGAGGCAAGGATATACAATGGAGAAAAGACAGTCTCTTTAACAAGTGCTGCTGGGAAAACTGGTCAACCACTTGTAAAAGAATGAAACTAGAACACTTTCTAACACCATACACAAAAATAAACTCAAAATGGATTAAAGGTCTAAATGTAAGACCAGAAACTATAAAACTCCTAGAGGAAAACATAGGCAAAACACTCTCTGACATAAATCACAGCACAATCCTCTATGACCTACCTCCCAGAGTAATGGAAATAAAAGCAAAAATAAACAAATGGGACCCGATTAAACTTAAAAGCTTTTGCACAACAAAGGAAACTATAAGCAAGGTGAAAAGACAGCCCTCAGATTGGGAGAAAATAATAGCAAACGAAGCAACAGACAAAGGATTAATCTCAAAAATATACAAGCAACTCCTCCAGCTCAACTCCAGAAAAATAAATGACCCAATCAAAAAATGGGCCAAAGAACTAAACAGACATTTCTCCAAGGAAGACATACAGATGGCTAACAAACACATGAAAAGATGCTCAACATCACTCATTATCAGAGAAATGCAAATCAAAACCACAATGAGGTACCATTACACGCCAGTCAGGATGGCTGCTATCCAAAAGTCTACAAGCAATAAATGCTGGAGAGGGTGTGGAGAAAAGGGAACCCTCTTACACTGTTGGTGGGAATGCAAATTAGTACAGCCACTATGGAAAACAGTGTGGAGATTTCTTAAAAAGCTGGAAATAGAACTGCCATATGACCCAGCAATCCCACTTCTGGGCATACACACCGAGGAAACCAGATCTGAAAGAGACACGTGCACCCCAATGTTCATCGCAGCACTGTTTATAATAGCCAGGACATGGAAGCAACCTAGATGCCCATCAGCAGACGAATGGATGAGGAAGCTGTGGTACATATACACCATGGAATATTACTCAGCCATTAAAAAGAATTCATTTGAATCAGTTCTAATGAGATGGATGAAACTGGAGCCCATTATACAGAGTGAAGTAAGCCAGAAAGATAAACACCAATACAGTATACTAACGCATATATATGGAATTTAGAAAGATGGTAACGATAACCCTATATGCAAGACAGAAAAAGAGACACAGATGTATAGAACAGACTTTTGGACTCTATGGGAGAAGGCGAGGGTGGGATGATCTGAGAGAATAGCATTGAAACATGTATATTACAATATGTGAAACAGATCACCAGTCCAGGTTCAATGCATGAGACATGGTGCTCAGGGCTGGTGCACTGGGATGACCCAGAGGGATGGGATTAGTGGGGGGTAGGGGGGGGTCAGGATGGGGAACACAAGTACACCCATGGCTGATTCAGGTGAATATATGGCACAAACCACCACAATATTGTAACTTAACTAGCCTCCAATTAAAATAAATAAATTAATTTTTTAAGACAAAAAATAAAAGAAATATACACTCTTACCACATGTCCTTCTGTAGCTACTGGCACCTTTGTGTGTTGTTCTTCACAGCAGATTATCTCAACTTATACTGAGACCACTCTGTCTTCAACCTATTTCAATAAATATGATGCCCCAATAAATATGATTATCAAAACTATATAAAACAGCAATTTAACTACAATGCCTAAAATAATTCTGAAGAATTTTGCTACAGTATTCACTATACCTGATTTCAAGACTTACTATAAAACTATAGGAATCAAGACAGTGTGACATTGACCAAAAAGTCAACAGAGTCTGGTAATAGACTCATACATATATGATCAATCAATTTTCAACAAAGATGCAAAGGCAATTCAAGGTAGAAGACAAGCTTTTCAACAAATAGTTTTTGAGTAATTGGATTGCATAAGAACAAAAACAAACATTTACCTATAACTACCATCACATACAAAAATTAAACCAATATGCACCACAGAACTAAATGTGACAGCAAAAGTAATAAAACTTGTAGAAGAAAACATAGAAGAAAATATTTGTGGCCTTTAGTTAATGCAGTGAGTTGAATAGTGTGTCTCTAAAACTTATGTTCACCCAGAATCTCAGAGTGTGACTTTATTTGTAAACACAGTCTTTGCAGCTGTAATTAGCTATGTTAGGGTTATGTTAGGGTGAGGTCATACTAGATTAAGGTGGGCCCCAAATCCAAAGAACGGTGCTCTTCTAAGAAGAGATGCGGACACACAGAAATGAGTGGAGGGGAAATCACCATGTGAAGACGAAGGTGAAGATGAAGAGATGCACCCATAACCCAAGCAACACCAGGCTTGCCAGCAGCAGCTAGAAGAGAGGCATGGCACAGATTCTTCCTTGGAGCATCCAAAAAGAACCAACTTTGCTGACATCTTGATTTGGGACTTCTGGCCTCAGGAAGTGTAGAGAATAAATTCCTGTTGTTTTAAGCCACCAAAACAAACAAAAAAAAATCTCATGTGCCCAAGGATAGAAGGCTAAGAGGCAAAGCCATAGGGATAAAGGTAGTCACAACTTCTCTTTCCATCTTCCTGGGGGAAAAAAAAGAAAGAGAGAGAGCAAGAGCAAGTTTACTCCTATTCAATATTTACTTATCATGCATCTCTTACTGAAAGATGTGTAGGACCGAACCACAGATACCTCCAATGGGTTAGCTACTTTGAATCCATTAACTTGAGAGGAAACAAGACCATTTTCTTAAAGAAACTTGATATAAAGAGAATAGACTGCCTCCCCAAAATGGTTAAGTCATAAAGCATATGTAGGTGGTTTCCCTAACAGGTAGCAGAGAGGCATGTTCTATGGGCTTTCGTAGATAAGATAAGGAGAAGGGGTGAGTATTGAAAGCCTTCAGAGCTGAGGAAAGATGTAAGTCTTCAACTGGTTTCCAAGGATGGGTAGGATTTGAACTGGCACCTCAGCCTTGGTGGAGGAAAGGCAGTAACAGAGGACAGGATAACAACAGTGAGCATGGTGGAACATTCAGGTCCCACCAGGAGAGGAGTCTGAAATAGGAAATGAGAGGAAAGGTCACAGGGTCACACTGCATCAGCTTGCTCTCTGGGGAACCCCATACTTGCTTTCTTCCCTTGCCAAGATCTGAGTCCACCTGAATCACTGTGGCTGACTGAGAAGAACTGGCCCAGTGTCCAGCATAGAATAGGCACTCAATAAGTGTTTGCTCCATGAATGGCCCACCTACTTTACTGACATCTATTTCTTCGGCTGCAGAGATCAATTCCACAGACATTCTGACCAGGAACATGATGAAGGAGAGGGTCATGCCCCTGGAAGCATCTCACTTGCCTTGACTACCACACATCAGACATTTGGGTTGAGCATGCGAGATGACCAGATGCCAATTGTACTCAAGTTTTTGTAGCAGGTGATGATAAAGGAGTATGACTCTTTCAGACATTTTTCTTGAGGATTTTGGAAAACCAGGAATTTGGGGAAACAATATGCTGAAAATAATGAAAAATATGAAAAGGAAGAAACTTATTAAAATATATTTTTTAACACATTCTCCTTGCACTGGGGCCAACATCTCTTGTGAGACTAAGAAGGAGGTCTGATTTGATAGTGATAAAAATCACCATTAGCTTATTATTTTTACAATGCTTTCTCCAAAAGCAGAATCAAGAAAAGTGTGACTATAAAATTATAAAGAAAACCATAGCTGGAAAGGAAAGACTCAGTACTTAATAAAGCAGTCCAGCTTCAGAGAAATGCCCTAGTGTTACTTCTGTAGAAGCTTAGGAAACAGTACATCATTTTCCACATTTCCTTCCCACAGCCATGAAGACCTGGGAAGCACAGCAAGATGGAGCCTCTGCCCGGGGTCTCTAGAGATGGACAGACGCGGCATGCCCTCTGCCAACACACAGAGGACATAGCATGTATGTGAAAAAGGAACTTGGGTTGGGTGAAGCCAATGAGATTTCTGGGTCTTTAATGCAGCAAAACCTACTTTGTCCTAAGACAAAAGTTTAGAATAAAAACTAGAAGATGGAGAGGAGGATTTTGTTGTTGTTTAGTCATTCAGTGGTGTCTGACTCTCTGTGACCCCAAGGACCGCAGCACACCAGGCTTCCCTGTCCTTCACTATCTTCCAGAGTTTGCTCAAACTCATATTCATTAAGTCAATGATACATCCAACCATCTCATCCTCTGTTACCTCCTTCTCCTCCAATACTCAATCTCTCACAGCATCAGGGTCTTTTTCAATGAGTCAGTTCTTCACCTCAGTTGGCCAAACTACTGGAGCTACTTCAGCATCAGTCCTTTCAATAAATGTTCAGGACTAATTTCCTTTAGTATTGACTGGTTTGATCTCCTTGTTGTCCAAGTGATTCTCAAGAGTCTTTGCCATCACCACAGTTTAAAAGCATGGCACTCAGGCTTCTTTATGGCCCAATTCTCACACTGTACATGACTATTGGAAAAACTATAGCTTTGACAAGACTATTTTTGTCAGCAAAGTGACGTCTTTGCTTTTTAATGCACTGTCTAGGTTTGTCATAGTTTTTCTTCCAAAGAGAAAGCATCTTTTAATTTCATGGCAGCAGTCACCATCTACAGCAATTTTGGAGCCCAGGAAAATAAAATATGTCATTGTTTCCATTTCTCTCCCCATTTATTTGCCATGAAGTGATGGGGCCAGATGCCATGTTCTTAGTTTTTTGAATGTTGAGCTTTAAGCCAGCTTTTCCACTCTCTTTCACCTTCATCAAGAAGCCCTTTAGTTCCTCTTCATTTTCTGCCATTGGGATGGCGTCATCTTCATTTCTGAGGTTATTGGTATTTCTCCTGGCAATCTGAATCCAAGCTTGAGTTTCATCCAGCCCAGCATTTTGCATTATGTACTCTTCATATAAGTTAAATTAGCAGGGTGATGATATACAGCCTTGATGGATTCCTTTCCCAATTTGGAACCAGTTCGTTGTTCCATGACTAGTTCTAATTGTTGCTTCTTGACCTGCATACAGGTTTTGCAGGAGGCAGGTAAGGTGGTCTGGTGTTCCCAACTCTTGAAGAATTTTCCACAGTTTGCTGTGATCCACACAAAGGCTTTAGCATAGTCAGTGAAGGAGAAGTAGATGTTTTTCTGGGACTTGCTTGCTTTTTTCTATGATCCAATGGATGTTGGCAATTTAATCTCTGGTTCCTCTACCTTTTCTAAATCCAGCTTGTACATCTGGAAGTTCTAGAATAACAATCTGCAAAATACGCACTAAGCATTAAANGTGATGGGACCAGATGCCATGATCTTAGTTTTCTGAATGTTGAGCTTTAAGCCAACTTTTTCAGTCTCCTCTTTCACTTTCACCAACAGGCTTTTGAGTTCCTCTTCAGGTGGTGTCATCTGCATATCTGAGGTTATTGATATTCCTCCCAGCAATCTTGATTCCAGCTTGTGCTTCTTCCAGCCCAGCGTTTCTCATGGTGTACTCTGCATATAAGACTTAATGCATGTCAAGTACTTTTCCAAGAAGTTTACCTACATTATTCCGTCTAAAGCTCAGGACAACTCCATAATCCTGATTTTATGGATGAGGAAGCTGAAGTTCAGAAAGATTACATCACTTGCCCAAGGTCACACAGCTGATAAACAGTAGAGTTGAGATAAATCCAGAGTGCGGCCTCAAAGCTCACCTTCTTAAACATATGCTATGCTGTCTCGTCAATCTTCCCAAGCCCAGCTGAGATTAGAGGGTTCTCCTAAGGTCACAGAGTTGGCAGAGGGTCAATTGCAGTCTAGATTTCTTTCTTCCTTCTTCACTGCCCTGTCTCTCCCCAGTCTCTTCCCCTTGACTTCATCTCCTCCCCCTGCCGGTCCCCCAGGACTCCCTATTAGAATCCTGGTTGTGTTGTAGTCCCAGGGGGCTGCATTTCTAAGACGTTTTAGGACACTAGCTTTCTCTACTAAAACATGGCAGGGGCACAGATATGCCGCTAACTGAACTTAAACTCCATCATCCTACCAACTGCCTGTGAGGTTCATTACTTGCTTTTGTTATTTGTGTGTTTTTATACATTTTTTAAGTTTTCCAAGTGATTCTGCTGGGCAGTCAGAATAGAAAACTCTACCCAAAGGGAAGTTAAAGATGATGAATAAAAGTTGGCCTGTCTGCACTTCCTGTGAAGAGACTGTTCCCACACCACCGACTGTGAAGGATCTGGCCTGCCTTCACTCTGGGCCAGGGTGGTTCTCTGCAGGGCCTCCCCCTTCCACTCTGCGGCCGCGGAGGCGCCGCAACGGGAGGAGTCGGGTCTGCGGCCGGTGCTCCAAGGGGTTCCTGGCGTCCCGCTGCAGTCCGTGCGCCAGGGAAACACTGGGAACGCTGGTCTCAAAGAGAATTTTAAGGCTTAGGTAAAGCCTCAGAGAACCCCCCACTTCTGCTCTTCCTTCTAAACAAGTCTTCGAGACCTCACAGAAGGTGCTAGAAGCAGAGGAGAGGCCCGGCTCTGCGGAAGCCAACTCCGAGCCCAAGCGGGAAGAGCTGCCACCAGGTTCGAAACGTTTATTTCCATGGCTAATCATGGCGGAAACAGAGGATGCGACCTGAAGTACTTG